TGTCGTGCCGGGGGCTAAGCAGGGCGTGCCAGGCGGTGCGGGGCGTGCCGGGCTCTGGACGCTGGGCGGGGCGTGCCGGGCTCTGGACGCTGGGCGGGGCGTGCCAGGCGGTGCGGGGCGTGCCGGGCTCTGGACGCTGGGCGGGGCGTGCCGGGCTCTGGACGCTGGGCGGGGCGTGCCAGGCGGTGCGGGGCGTGCCGGGCTCTGGACGCTGGGCGGGGCGTGCCGGGCTCTGGACGTTGGGCGGGGCGTGCCAGGCGGTGCGGGGCGTGCCGGGCCCAGCGGGGCTCGGGACTCGCAGTTGCGTGAGCTCTCGGCTGCTGGGCGCCAGGCGGATGTCACCGCGAGTGCTCTCCGTGGCGCCGCGCGTGCAGCCCGTATCTCACCCTGGCTTGACGCCCACTGGGAGCCCTTGGGCAGTGCACCGTCTCCTTCCGAGGCTCCCTGGGCGTTTGTCCCAGGGGGCCCTGGATCTCTGTGCCTTTTTATCTCCATTGTTCGTAAGGTCTAGAAACACATCCCTGTGCCCGCTTGATCCGTTGACTAAAAATTAATGAGGATTCTGAAGAAGAGGGAACGCCCACATCCTAGGCCTCTCCCTGCCACGTGGGAGTTACTGAGCTCGCTCCCGTGGGGTTGTCTGGCTGGGGCGACCGGACGTGAGCCTCAGCTGCGAAGAATAGCTGTTGCCATGGAGTTTCGGGCTCCCGAGCATCTGAGCGACGCTAGCATAGTTTCGCCATGCGGCAGTTGAGGCTTGGTCCGCGTGCCCAGCTCCCTTGGAGGTTGTTTCCAGACGCAAGTTCCGGGAGGACCCCCTGGTGTCCGCTGGGGGCGACCAGAGGGCATGGATGCTCGGGATTCGCTCACATTCACCAAGGGACAAAATTTTGACTTGACCGTCCCACAAGAGATTATACATGCAGTGGCTGAGATAAATCCACAAATTGAAAGACAGCATCCAACCTGGTGATTTACAGGACCGCAAAGGTTGTGGTGGACTAAGAATACATCCCGCAGTTACCTGGGAAGAGCCTGATCATATTGAACTATTTTCGTGCTTTAAGCATTAATTAACGCGCTAAACGCAAATATTTAACACTTGCAGCAATTGTGTGGGAGTGGTTTCTCCTCGTTCTTATTATTTTTAATAGAGACATGGTCTCACTGTGTTTATTTCCCCGGCTGATCTCGAACTCCTAGGCTCAAGAGATTCTCCTGCCTTGTCCTCCTAAAGTGCTGGTATTACAGGCATTAGCCACTGCGCCAGCCTTCTTGTTCTTTTTATTTTTAATTTTTACTTTATTTTTTTGAGACGGAGTCTCACTCTGTCACCCAGACTGGAGTGCAATGGCATAATCTCGGCTCACTGCAACCTTGCCTCCCGAGTTCAAGTGATTCTTCTGCCTCAGCCTCCAGAATAGCTGGGGTAACAGGTGCCTACCACCACACCTGGCTACTTTTTCTATTTTTAGTAGACAGGGTTTCAGCATGTTGGCCACACTGGTCTTGAACTTCTGGCCTCGAGTGATCCGCCTGCCTTGGCCTCCCAAAATGCTGTGGTTACGGGTGTGAGCCACCCCACAGCATTTTTTTTCTTTTTTCTCTTTTTAATAAACGGAGTTTCGTTCTTGTGGCTGGAGTGCAATGGCCCGATCTCAGCTCCCGGTACAAGCGATTCTCCTGCCTCAGCCTCCCAAGTAGCTGGGATAACAGGAGTGCACCACCACGCCTAGCTAATTTTAGTATTTTTAGTAGAGACAGGGTTTCTCCACGTTGGTCAGGCTGGTCTTGAACTCCCAACCTCAGGTGATCTGCCTGCCTCGGCCTCCCAAAGTGTTTCAAGAACCGGAGGTGGCCCAAGGTCTCCAAACAGATTGGAGGCCCTGGGTTTTCAGGCACTCAAGAGATTTGGCTTTGAGTTTCAGCTGGGCAGTCATTTGTGGGAGGCTGGGATCAATCTTTTAACTTTCCCTAGGCTGTTAAATTGCCTGTAAAATAGGAGTGATACCACTAGACTAACAAGGCTGTTAGGATTAAGACATGTGAAGCATTTTCTGAAGTGGTCTCCAAAGGTGAAATTACTTTTTTTTTTTTTTTCTGCAAGGCTAAGGCAACCTTCTACAGATGGAAGCCTTTATGTTTCAATTTATGTTTCCCCACCCCATTTTCTTTTTCATACAAACAAGTCTCCTTATAACTTGTTTTGATAAATTAATGCTTTGAAATTTTTGCCAACTCAATTTTGGAACCGTTTGCTTATAGCAAATATATTTTGCTTTTTTTTTTTTTTGAGATGAAGTCTTGCTCTCTCGCTTAGGCAGTAGTGCAGTGGTGCGATCTCAGCTCACCACAACCTCCGCCTCCTGGGTTCAAGTCATTCCCCTGCCTCAGCCTCCCGAGTAGCTGGGATTACAGACACGTGCCACTGCACCCAGATAATTTTTGTATTTTTAGTAGAGATGGGGTTTCACCATGTTGGTCAGGCTGGTATTGAACTCCTGACCTCGTGATCCACCCACCTTGTCCTTCCAAAGTGCTGGGATTACAGGCATAAGCCACTGCACTGCACTCAGCAATTTTTTAAAAAAAATCAAGGAAGTAGTATCAGTTTAAATGTACAAGTATTCATGCAAGATCAGTGCAAAACTTAGAAAATATGCTTCAGCATTTTTTCAAATGACTTACTAGTTCAAATATTCTCAAATTCACTTGATTCATTTTCAAATTGTTACTTTGTCTCTGCATTCGTTGTTGATATGCAGTTAAGCAGGTAAATGCTTTGAAAGTTATTCAGCTAGTCTTGCTACAATGAAATATAACTTACCTGTGTTTCTTGAAATAAGGGGGATGGCATCTAGATAACTTCATATATATTGGTAGGTTCAAAAAGGAGATTCTATTAATTATTATTACTTTTTGAGACTAAGTCTCACTCTGTCGACCAGGCTGGAGTACATGGGGGCAATCTTGGCTCACTGCAACCTTCACCTCTTGGGTTCAAGCAATTCTCCTGCCTCAGTCTCCTGAGTAGTTTGGATTACAGGCGTGTGCCACCATGCCCAGTTAATTTTTGTATTTTTAGTAGAGATGGGGTTTCACCATGTTGGGCAGGCTGGTCTCGGAACTCCCAACCTCAGGTAATTTGCCCACCTCAGCTTCCCAAAGTGTTGGGATTACAGGTGTGAGCCACAACGCCCAGGCTGGAGATTCTATTAATTCTATTATACCAACGAAAGGATCTTTGCTTTGTTATTCTTTCCCTCTTTTAAAATCAGTTTTCATATAAACACAAAATTAATGTGATGGCTTTTATTAACACATACTGTATGGGGACAGCTGGTGGAGTCAGAAGACTTGGGTTCTGATCCAATGCCACTTCTCACAGGTGGTTGCTGAGCAAGTCGCTCAGTCTGTCTCACCTGTATCATCCACAAAGTAAAGAGGTTGGAAAGAAAGTTCTGAAGTCAGTATGGCACCTATTGGAATTTCAGTGTTTCTTACGGTATTCCTCCTTAACATTCAAATAGCACATTTTATGTTTCTGAACACTGGGGGGAGAACAGCACAGTGTGCAGTAGAAGCTGTTCGTAAATGCACTAGTAGCAGCTGGACCTGGAGAAAAGGTGGGAAGAGTGTCACTACGGGAAATGAGGTGTGCACTCTTTTCTTCACAATCATACTGCCTCTTCAAGGATCCCGGGAGAAGATACAACTCAGCAAGGCTTGGTGCTTTTGCTAGACCGCCTTCAGCTAGCTTAAACCCCGCATCTATTGCATTCCCTGCTGCTTCTAATTAGTACATACAAGCTAATGGATAAAATGTGAAAAAGTATTAAGGAAATGAAAATGACCTACTTTTATCACCTAGTGATTACTAACATCTCATAATCATTTCATTTTTTGTTACATATAGTTTTCAAAACAGTATGTATAGTTTCATATCCTTCTTTATGTAGCATTATTTTTCCCCATTGCCATTTTTTCATGATTTTTAGTGGTTGCCTATTTTCCATCTAAAGGATGTAGCATAACTTTACCACTCTTTAGAGCCTTCCCAATTTTTCATTAGGGAAAATGAACCCTTGTATAAGAGTTTATCTTTCGCTGAATCATTTCTTGATGTTAGATTGCTAGTATATTACCAATTCAGAAGTTATAAACTTTGTAAAGGACTTATTATCAATGTTTCCAGAAAGATCTCACCAACATACCCTCCAGTAGAATGTAAGAGTGCTCCCTCACTAAACCCTTACTGGTATTAAGTTTAAATAAGGAGAATCACGAAATTAGTAAGTGAAATGACCAGATCACTTAAAATTTTTCTTTCTTAAATGAATAGTTGGGTTGGACCTCTTTCAAGTAATTACTGACCTATTTTTTTTTTTCTGATTGTATTTGCCCATTGTTTGTATTTTTCCTTCCTATTGATTTGTAAGAGTTATTTATATACAAGTTTTTCGTTTCCCTCTAGAGGCAAAATCAAGGCTTAATTTATCTGGTTGTTTTAGAATTTTCATTTTTTTTAAATAGACGGGGTCTTGTTCTATAACCCAGGCTGGAGTGCAGAAGCACGATTGTAGCTCACTACTATCTCCAGTTCCTGGGCTCAAGCAATTTTCCTGCTTCAGCTTTCCTAGTAGCTAGGACTACAGGCGTGTGTCACCAGCCATGCTTTCATAATTTTTTGTAGAGGCAGGATCTATGTTGCTCAGGCTGGTCTTGTACTCCTGGCCTCATGTGATCCGCCTGACTGGGCCTCCCAAACCACTGGAATTTCAAGTGTGAGCCACGCCCAGCCTATATGCTGGTTAAGTTCTTTAAATGGACCAGGTAAAATGGAGGTTTTAATATCTAGATTCTCATGTATATCTGTGTAGTTTTATTAAAGTCCTCTCCTCTTGTTCCTCACTACTCTTTCCTAGTAATAAAAAGCAGCTCACTTTAGTCACTTCAAATCAAAACATAACAATACAGAATTAAAAAATGGAAACAAGCTCTTGGAATTAATCATTTATCACAAAGTGAACAATTTCAATTCTTAAACATACAATCATCCCTTTTCTTCATACTAACTCAAAATGAGTAAAGAGAACTTTATTCAAACGTTACAAATATCATTTACATTTAGCCTGAGATTAAGCATGAGAAAGTTCAACCTGAAGTCAGACTTCATTGCCCAGTTCAGCATCTGAAAATAAAGCTGAGAATGAATCCACATCATCAGACAAAGCATTCCGGTGAAGGCCGACAATGGATTGTGACACAAACTGAACTTTAATTTGCTCTGGTCCACACGGTCTTCAGAGCCTAAAAGTTCCTATTTTTTAATAATGATGGAAAAATATCCGCAAATGACAAAATGTATGAAGGTGTGACCAGATGCAAAATTTCAGTTCCACGTTTCTACAGCAGCTGCTTTAGGCGACCATTAAAAAACAACTCCCCAATCCTTATTGTTCAACATGTACTTGACAACATGTGGCAGCATGGTACAGTTTATGAAGTTTATAAATATCAGTACCTGTAATAAAATATAAAATACTGAGTATCCCTTTTTCAAATATGAAGTCTCTGAATGCTTCATTCATCCTTTGGCTTCAAACCCATACAATGCACTCATATTACATTGTAGATTTCGCATGGAGACAGAACACTGTACATCTGTCGGGGAAGGTGGGGTGCTGTGGGAATGCCAAAGCACTACGTCATAGAAAGTAAACGTTGAAGCAAAAATACTTTCTGAATATATACTATACATTATGTAAACACACATTCAGAATAAGAATCAACACAGGCCAAAATATTGTTTTTTAGGAAACCAGAATCTTCCTTCTTTTAAATCACACACTGAAGATGCTTTTTGTTAAGAAAAGGAATGGAGTCTGTTCCTGTATTTGCTTATGTGCTTAAATATCTAGGAAATGAGTAATTATTACATTCATTTGCTAACGGTTTATCCTCTGCTTAGTTGGCTGGCTGTTGCAAACATGGAATACAGAACTATTTCAGTCCCTGTTTTTCATTTAATACTAGTTAAGTAATATATAATTAATTCATCTTTATTAAACCATATTAGTAATATAAATAGATTACGTGAAGCAGTGAATTTCAAAATTTGTGCAGGGGAAACTAGTTGATAATTTGTTTCCAATAAGGCTAGTAGCAAATCATTACTACAAAGTTTGTCCAAGCTAGTAGTGAACCCCTGATTTAGCAGGCTGAATCAAAGTGTATAGTTAGGTAATTCTAATTCCTCTATTACTGTGCAAATCTAGAATTTCCTATGTAAAAGAGAGTGCTGGCAGCATCAAAGCCCTGTAATAAGAGTATGAAATACTGATTAGGATTTGAAATGCAGAGAGATTATATGAAGAAATGTGAAGGTCTTAATGATGGTATCACAGCAATGGCCTCAGAATTCCCTTAGTGAAACAGAAACTAAAATCATTATTCAATAATCTTCTGAGCTAAAAGCCTAAGTTGGAAGCAAGTGATTAAGACACAAAACCAAAGATGCATTTTCTGTGACCATATGCAAGAATTTCAAGCTTTATGTCAACATTCTGTACCAGCACCAGCCCCTCTGAAAGGAAAAGTATAGTCATGACTGTCCATCCCTTTTCAAAGCTTCCAGTCTTTGAAGGAGTGCATTTCCAAATGCTTCCCGGTAGGCAGGGCTGAGTGTATCCAACAAGGAGTAGACCGTTTCATGGTAGGGAGTCTGTAAATGATCATCCACCTGGTCAAAAGCATAGCCTACCACCTACAAGAGAAATGCAACAGTGAATTCATCAGTTTTCATCTTGGTACAGAAAGCAAAAACCAAGTGTTTGTTTACGTGAATAATCATCCTTTTTAAAAAAAAATATATATTTTTTCCTAGCCCCTGGACCACCAGAGATACATGGGTAATTATCAAATGAGACTATTTCTCAAAGTCAGAGTATGTACATTTTAAACAAAAACTTTAACACTTGAGCAACTTGTAATAAACAATACAGAAACACCCAATAAAATGCTCCCTATAGAAATTTTTTTCAAAATTTAAAAGGTTTTATTTACTTCTGAGTCTCAAAGTAATGTAGAGAAAGAATTTGAAAAGCTACACAAAAACAGTACTTCATTTTCATATTACAAAACATGCATGTATTATTTACCCTATTGAATTCTACATATATTGAAGGTCCACTATATTAAGTACTATAATAAGTAATATAGCATTAGTTCATATTTTTATCATTTTGTATTCCTTTTATACAGAATTCTATAAATTATTCCTAATGATTGTTTTAATTAGTTATTAATTTTAATAATTATTTTAATTGGTTTAATAATTAGTTTATTAGTTTTCATAACTGCTTAGCTTTATTATTAGTAATCTGAACGGTCACTTCCACTTTATATATTTCTTATCTGACAGGGAATGAATGCTCAACTCTGTGAGATAAAAGGGAATGTTACTGTGTTTTTTTTTTCTTGGCAGGGTACACGATTTCTGGAGGACTTGCAATACCACGTTGATGTGAGGAGTGAACAGAGCAAGAGCCTATTCTATCTCCCTGTTCCAAAAATCCATTTGATATACTATCCTTGGATAGAGGACCTAACAGATATTAAACTGGTAAGAAGAGATACTACAACCGATCTTAGCCAAAAGGCTGAGAAGCGATGTGCGGGGTTTTTTTTTTTCCTCCTGTGAACACAGCTACAACTTTTCTTTTTGACAGGATTATGAGGTATGTCATGTTCACCAGCACAACACAGGGCAAAATTAATTTAGTTTTTGCTGACTTGACTAAAGTCTGTAAATTCCCTATATAAATCCTAAATTTTTATGACATCTATTTAAGCCATAGAGATGAAAGTTTATGTTAGAAATAGAAGGTGAGTGTTTTTTTGAATGAAGAGCAGAGGCAGACACTTGAGGAAAACGAATCACCCCTCTTCAGATCCATGCTCGATGACTGCACTCTCCAGTGGAGTACAGTTCAGTTTGCCTTCTTCCTCTTATCTCTGCTAGACTGTGATCTTCCTGGTGAACATGGGTCATGTCTTATTCATGGTTTGATTTTCAATTTGCTGATGCAGGATAGTAGCTCAACAACCGTTAACTGAATCAGACTGAAAAACAAATATTTGGGCACCTACTACATGCCAGGTTTTACAAATGGTTCAGATATTTCTGTATCATACAGTCAAATAATCATTCCCCAAATCATTTTAAGTTTTTTTATAATCTGTAAGTTAATTAAGAAGCAGGAACTCTCAGGGGTAGACAGACTCGCCCAAGATCATTAAAATTCACATTTAGGACTGCACTGCTGACTGTGATCAGAACTCCTTCTACCTCTCCAAAGCCAACTTAGAATTAACCAACACAAGACAGAATTAGTTTACCTGGGGTCACTTATCTCTACTTCTGATTAAAGATCCATCTCTAAACACTAGGAGCTTTTGGTACAAATTTAAGGATGTGGAAAGGAGTGCATGAAAATCAGTTCATTCAGGTACTATACTTAAAGCTAAGCAGCAATCTTTGTGGCAGCTGTGAGGGAACTGAGGGCAGTACAAATGCTGGTCTTGCACTTTGCTCTATCAAGGAATATACAGTATACATGACTCATCTTCAGCAAATGGAATCCAGTGAAATAAAGAGATATTTATGTACTTAACATAATATTATGTGACATTCTTACTTGCTTAGACAGGCCTTGCGCACCACCTTATGATAATGTACAATTACTTTGAACAAATACAGAAACACAGAAATGTATGAACGTTTGCCAAGACTGAAGATTCATTGATTGGGAAGGTTAAAACTAAATTTTAGATTTTCTAATGTCTATCCCCCCTTTGTTCAGAAGGTCAAAGGTTTTTATAAGTTTTTTTTTTTTTCCAAAAGGGTCTCTTTGTGTACCCAGGCTGGAGTACGGTGGGCCAGTCACAGCTCACTGCAACCTCGAAGTCATGGGCCCCCTCCTAAGCCTCCCAAGTAGTTGGGATAACAGGCAAGTGCCACCACGTTGGGCTAATTAAAACATATATATATATATTGAAGAAACAGGGTCTCGCTATGTTGCCCAGGCTGATCTCGAATTCCTGGCCTAAATGATCCTACTAGCTTGGCCTCCCTAAGTGCTAGGATTATAGGCAAGGGCTACCAGGCATGGCCTGCGGTTTTTTTCTTTTTTAATTAAAAGTTGCTCTGTGGTGATGCTTTCTACTATTCTAAACTCATGATTTTCGTTTAAACAATGGAAAGGTTAATCTGCCTAGAAGAGCTGTCATAATAAAGAGATACTTATAATAAAGGGCTAATAGGACACCATTGGAAATCTGGGGGTGGAATGTTCTGCTCTGATTTATTTCTGATCTGGAAGACAGTGTTGTCAAGTATGTTATTTTAACAGAAGAGACATTTCTAGGAGGTTGACAAAGATCTTTTCAACACAATGACTGCAAAACCCATCAATGCAGAGAATGTATATATATAGTTTTGGTGAACACATTTAGCTATAGATGAGAAATAGTTTTGAGCGTCATGATTAAAACAAAGTCACACCCTGCAAATCAAATGTTTTTCAAAAAAAATTCAATTTACCTATATTGATCAAAAGACTTTGAAATTAATAAAAATTTCTAGGTAAAAAGTTTTCCTTAAAAAAATTTTGGAAGCTACTGAATATCCAGTTTTTAGTTAACACTCTTCCCCTCCCTGCTCACCCCTCTTTTTAATAAAGTGGTAAAGACATAATTTTTTTTCTAAAAAGAAAAGTGAGTTACCTTAAGCCCCGCTTCAGTGAGCTCTAGGCAGTATCTGTTTCTCTCCTTGGTTTCCACATTGATATAGGCCACATCATCTGCACAGCGCAGGCTTTTCGAGACAAACATCTTGTTAACAGCAAAGAGAACATCGTTTACAACTGCTTCAGCTTCTAGCCTCATGTCTTTCATGTCAGTTCCTTCAAAACCATTGAGCTCTGAACCTTCTTCAAATCCTGCCATACTGCTTAGCTCCATGGGATTACAATCTGTTTCCATTCTGTAAAAAAAGCAGTTGTAAAATTTGTTTATAAAAGACATTCAAAATATTACATTTGATTAAAATTAGCTATGCCTTAAAACTGCTACTTAGTACAATACACTAGCTAATAATTTTGAGCAAAAATACAATCTAAAAACGTTTCTAGTGGTTTCTCACAGCAAAATCACACACCTACAGATTTTCAAATAAAGGATCTCCCCTCTTCACTTACCCGCAAAAGGTCAATTTCCATACTGACAAGCATTAAGAACATTATGTTTTTTTTAAGCTATATTGAATAATGTCGCAGTAACAATCCTAGTACATATTAAAAAAAATATATATATAATTATTTCTCTAGGAAAGATATTTAGAACCAAAACTGCTGAGTCAAAGGACATACTTATTTTAACTTTGAAGAGATACTGCCAATTTACCTTTCAAAATAGGAATGTATGACTTACATTTCACTAACAGAGTATGAGGGACTGTACTCTTTTTCACCTCTTCCCAATTGTTTTAAATTTTTGCCAATTTAAGAGGCAAAGAATGATAGCTCATTGTTTTAATAAGTATTTCCTTGAGTAAACATCTTTTTGGATGTTTACAGGATATTTTTGGTTCTAAGATCATACAGTTGAAAAAGCAAAAATGGAAATGAATCTAAATGGTATGAAATTGTAGTACAAGCCTTTACCTACCACAGTACACTAGCTCTCAGTAGTTCCCTGTATGACTTCTGGATTGGGGTTTTGCTCTAGGCCTTCCCCATCCCATGGTTACATTTTAAAAATCCCTAAATTGCCTTCTAAATTCTCATTCTATCTGCATTTAACTCTTTGATCAATCTGGAATTTATTTTGCATAACTGTTTTCCAGATGGATAGCCAACTGTCCCAACACCATTTACTGAATAACTCATCTTTTCACCACTAATTTGAACTGACCCAAATGTTCTATTTTAAAAAATATTATTTCTAATTTCTCATGCTAACTTGATCCAATATTACTGCCAGGCTGCTATGTGGTTTTAGCTTTTCTTCTGTGACTGGGGTTAAAAAGGATCTTCCTGGCTATGTGTATTCTTAGGCAATTATATTCTTACAATTTGAAATGTATGAATGAGAAAAGTTAATGAATGTGAAAGTGCTCTGGAATGTGAAAAGGGCTTTACAGAACAAGCTATTGTGAGCTATTGCAATTTCTTTTTACTTGGCAGGTTTTAAAAGTAAAGTTTCATTTCTCTGATATGGATGAAGCATCTGCCATTGTGAATGAAGCATAACTCTTCATTCTTTCGCATATTCTATCAACGTTCATTTTCTATCTACTTGAGCACTGTGGTCAAGGCCTAGTCTGACCACCCCCCTCACCACACTGGAGTTAGATTAGACCTGTAATAAACTCACTGTATTTTAAGAGACAAGGTCTCACCATGTTGCCCAGGCTAGAGTGCAGTGGTTATTCACAGGTGTGATCTTTGTGCACTAAAGCCTAGCACTCCTGTGCTCAAGCCATCCTGCTACCTCAGCTGCTTGAGTAGTTGGGACTACAGGCTCGTGCCACCACACCTGACCCTCAAATGCATTTTTAGAAGGAGTCTCAATTTTTTTCTGACAATACAGACAATATTTATAAGCATTTAATTTAAACTACTGATCTGGTACATGACACTGTCCGTTGCTATTTCCAAGTTACTAACTCATGCCCTATTTGTGTAATATTCAAAATCCTTTAAGGTAGTCAGAATTATCTGCAAGAGCTTATAAAATTATAGATAAATTTTCCTTACTGCAGAAAAACAAAATCAAAATCTCTGGAAGACACGTTATTTTTTTCAGAGCTTTTGAGTGGTTCTGCTGTGCAGGCACTGCTCTAAATTATCAGCAAAAATCAGCTAAATGTCATTTGCACATTATAAAAGTCAAAACTACTTGCTGAAGGCAATTTATAGTAACATACGTAAGGCTTTTTCAAAAAATTACATAGCAAATATATAATGTATTCCTCCAATCCCAGTTCAATTAATGATACGTTTTAAAGATTCTTAATCTTGTCTCTCACAGCACTTTACAAAATTAATCCCTCGCTACAAACAACAGAAGTTAATTATAAAATTACCAATTATTGCTGGAGCAATCTGTCGGGTAATTGAAAGCTCAAATTGACTTATTATATAGGAAAAACATTTGGTTTTCCAAATTTTACCTTATTCTAAAAATAATCAGTATACTGCTTAAGATTATATTCAGTTTTATATATACAAAATGAGCCCTTTCTTTTTTACATAGTTTTGAAGATTTAGAAATGACTGTCTACTATAAATCTTGACACCATAAATACCAAACATCTTAATTTTGCTAAAGTTGTCAAGTACTTCAGAGATGTCAGATATAATGATCATTACATAAAAAGATGTTTGTATGAGAAAGTTTTACATTTATAAAGCTTTTTTTATTTTTTGCAAGAGTCTAATTCATTGCAATTAGGACCTTAGTGATGCAGAAAGATCAAGAATCCAGCAGTTGAATGGAAGAAATCCTCAGGTCAGTGAAGTAGGTCACCAAACAGTTTTAATAATCAGCACCAAGCTGCAAAGAGGAGGAAGATACCTTTCCTAACACTGAATTTTTATGACACTTTCCCTGAAATGTCTCTGAATAACATAAAATTCAGAACTTTTGATAATACATATAAATTAAAATAATGGTACATTATATAAATAACATTTTTAGCTATTATTTTAAGGTATGATTACAACTTCTTTTTTTGTTGGTTGAAACAGATTCTGGATTATTTACCAATATCCTTTTCCCTGCCTAATACCACACATATTTTCCAAGGGCAACCATAATGCCCTCTTCCTGTACTAAACAAAGTAACCAAGAAATTTGGCTGAGATTAACTCCAACCTCCAGATACAAACTGTTCCAAACTAATTAATACATGAAATTCTTCCTGTCACTTTATTTATTTATTTTTTTGAGATGGTGTCTCATTTTCTTGCCCAGGCTGGAGTGCAGTGATGTGATCTCAGCTCACGGCAATCTCCATCTCATGGGTTCAAGCAGTTCTCCAGCCTCAGCCTCCCGAGTAGCTGGGATTACAGGCCTGGCTAATTTTTGTGTTTTTAGTTGAGATGGGGTTTCACCATGTTGGTCAGGCTTGTCCCAAACTCCTGACCTCAAGCAACCTGCCCACCTCGGCCTCCCAAAGTGCTGGGATTACAGGCATGAGCCACCGTGTCTGGCCTTCCTGGTCACTTTAATCCAGAATAGTTCAGTCACAGCACACAGCCCCAGCTGTTCCAGGCAGCCATCTCAGCCACGCTGAGATGGGGCCACTAGCCCAAGCACGATGCTGACAACAGAAAAACAACAGACTCAAGAGATTTACAGAGAAATGTAACCAGAGCCCATTCTGGTTTCCCAGCCTTTGCATTTCTCAGTTATTGGAGCAAAAAAATTCCCATTATCTTACTGGCAAGAGAAAGCATTCTACTGGATTTAGGAGTCTACCCATAATGAAAGGCAGTGATTGATTCAGCTCTACAACAGCCCCAGGTAAAAAGGTTTAGAAAATGGACCTCAGATGATCATGATGAATATTTTTGTGCCTGTTACGTAGAAAGTACTTAATAAAAGCTTTGTAGAATCTGGATATAAATTAGTTTTCTATTGTTACCATAACAAAATTATCAAGTTAGTAGCTTAAAATAGCACACATTTATTCTTACAGTTCTGGAGATGAGAAGTCTAAAAGCAACATGCCAGCAGGTCTGTATTCCTTCTAGAGGCTTCAGGAAGGAATCTGTTTCCTTGCCTTTTCTAACTTCCAGAGGCCATCTGAATTCCTCAGCTTATGGTAACTTCCTCAATCTTTAACATACATAAAAACATTCAGCGACTTCTTTTCTGCCCTTCCTTTTTCGAAGAGTTATTTATTTATGAGACAAGATCTTGCTGTTGCCTAGGCCACAGTACAGTGGCACAAGAAAAAGTATTTATGATTGAATGAGACAGGATCTTGCTGTCACCTAGGCCATAGTACAGTGGCACAATCTCGGGCTCAAATGATCCTCCCACCTCAGCCTCCCAAGTAGTTGGGACTACAATGGGTGCCATCATGCCCAGGTAATTCTACTTTAGAGACAGGGTCTTCCTATGTTACCCAGGCTAGTGTCGCACTCCTGGACTCCAGCAATCCTTCCACCTTGGTCTCCCAAAATGCTGGGATTACAGGTGGGAGGCACTGTGCTCGGCCATAGTTTATTTTCAATAAACATATTTGATGGGCAACATAAGGTGCCAGGCAGTTTACATGCATCTCTTAAAAGGAGGCCCAGAGTACTTGCCAAGCCAAGCCCACTGCCTTCTCGGGAAAGGTTTCTGCATCATAGGACTCTGCTTTGTATTTTAATTCCAGCATCATCATAGCAAAATGTGCTGGGGATGGGTATTTCAATTAAAAGCACCAGCTCAAGGTTGGCAAGGGGTTTATTCATGTCCTAAGTCAACAGCGTTCTCCAACTACTTGATTCTGGATGGTGGCCTAATCAGATTCCCTCTCAAGGAGTTTGAAAAGAGCCAAAAACCAAGAAGTCAGTTAGCTGGTGATGACAGAAGTTACAGAGGCAGAGCAGTGAGCAGCTAGGTTGCTATGTTGACAGACATTTGAGAAGCAGCTTCTACATTTTGGATTATGTACCCCAATAGGTTAAAATATTTTGAATAGACACAACTTATTATAAGCATTTATAGACATATTCTACCACAATTAAAGTATTTAAGACATATAAATATACATTTAAACAGAAGGTAAAGATGGAATATAGATATATTTTCTGCTCAAAGGATTATCTGTGCACCTGACTAGAAGCCCGTACCATTGAGGATGAGGAAATACATGCCCATTTCAGTGAAGGAACAACCACTAGATTACTACTGACACTTTAGAACTGCCATCAGGTTACCAGAATGGTTGACTCATCAATGTGAATCCTGTAAAAATCTTTGGTT